AATCTCGAAGTCGTACATTTGTAAACGCTCCAACCATCGGGCCATCTGTCCTTCAAGATCCTTGAAGTTGAGGAGCCATCTTAACGCTGCATGATCAGTTCGGAGAAGAAATTTCTGTCCATAAAGGTACTTGTGGAAGTGTTTTGTTGCATTGACTATTGCTAGTAACTCCTTCCTGGTCACACAATAGTTTCGTTCGGGTTTTGTGAATCCTCTGCTATAATACGCTAGCACCTTTTCTTCTCCGTCTATATGCTGTGACAAAACGGCTCCGATTCCGTTGTTACTTGCATCAGTATCTAACACGAACGTCTTGCCACGAACTGGATATGCTAGCAAAGGAGCATCACATAGTTCAACTTTTAACTTTTCAAATGCTGAGTCGCATAGGGTATTCCAGTTGAAAACTCGGTCCTTCTCGGTAATTTGGTGGAGAGGTCTGGCAACTTTTGCAAAATCCTTTACAAAACGTCGATAGTACGTTGCCAATCCCAGAAAACTGCGTAATTCATTTTTATCCTTTGGAGTTGGCCAGTCTTTCACAATTTCTATCTTGCTGGGATCGGTTCGAACTCCATCTGAAGATACCACATGTCCCAAATAGTTAACTTCTTTAGAAAATAACCTGCACTTTTTAACGTTCAGCTTTAAATTTGCCACCCGAAGTCTTGTGAAGATCTCTCGTAAGTTTTCGACGTGTTGATCAAATGTTCTTCCTAGAACAATTATGTCGTCTAAATAGACAAGACAGGTTTTCCAGTTAAGACCTTGCAATACACATTCCATCAGTCTCTCGAATGTAGCTGGAGCATTGCACAATCCAAATGGCATGACGGTGAATTGCCACAACCCCGATCCGATAGAAAACAGTATCCGCTTTTCAAATCAAGCTTAGAAAACCAACTTGAGCCAGATAGGGTGTCCATGATATCATCAATCCTCGGTAACGGATAGCTGTCCTTTTTAGTCACATCATTTAACTTCCTATAATCAACGCAAAAACGGGTAGTGCCGTCCTTTTTCTTTACCAAAACAACTGGCGAAATCCAGGGACTTCATGACGGTTCGATGACGCCTTGATTCTGCATTGTCGTTATCATTTCGTTTACTTCTGTTTGTTTTGCTAGAGGAAGACGTCGTGGTACTTGTCGCATCGGTTTCGAATTCTGAGTATCAATTCGGTGAGTTACCAGAGCTGTTTTACCTTGGTCATTGTCACCGGTTGAAAACACGTCTGCGAAATCAGCAATCAACGCCTCGGCTATTAGACGGTCTTCTTGATACAAATTAAGTTCATCCAGTAGATTTTTGGTAAGTTCTTTGAGTCTACCTTTGTCAGTTGGTAGAACCTTTTCCTGTTGCTCAATATCTAATGATTTCACCAAATTTATTGATTGGCAATTACCTATTTCCTCGCCTTTTTTAATTTTAATAGTGTGTTTAGCGGTATTCATTATTCTGACAGGAATAAGACCATTTTTGTTCGCTTCTACCAGGCATTTTCCAATGACCGCGTTCTGTACATTAGTCGTTGAGGTTGGCTCCATCAAATAGAACTGGTGGCCCCTTGGATCGCAATTCAACTTGCCCCATACGATGTTTTCAGATGATTGAGGTAGTTCTATGTCACAATCGACTGTTACTCGAATGCATTTTTCGTCGCTATCCCCCATTATCACTTCTGTATTTCTCCATCTAAGAATGCGTTTTTCTAAGTCAATTTTGAACCCATCTTTTGTCAGAAAGTCGACACCTATTATGCATTCGTCGATGATATCCGCGACTAAGAATGAACCTTCGAATAACAAGTCGCCTAGCTGAACAGTACAGAGAATCTTTCCATAGACTGGTGCTGTTCCTCCGGTAGCTGTTCGAAGGATGTATTTGTTGGAAGTCTCTTTCTTCAGATTGGGTACCAAATCAGATCTTAAAATCGATTTTGTTGCTCCGGTGTCGACTGTAATTACACATTCTCGTTGATCAACTTTTCCGTTCAGCCATAGGTCGTTTCGATTTCGATGTAGTCTGGAAACGTTAATTACGGTACTGGGGGCGTCAATTCTACTAGCCAACCTTTGCCCCACAAAGTTGGCTCTTATTAGTTTTACGCCCCTTCGTTAGAAGGGGCCAATCGTGATACGGGATCATCTTCTCTTCTTTTGCGTCATCTTGTCGCGCAATTTCGGCAGTAGTTATCTTTTAGGCGGTGTTTACAATCACGACGTAGATGGCCTTTTTCACCACAAATCCAGCATTGGGGTACACCATGCTGTTGGGGTTCGCGTTTCACAACCACCTTCTGGCAAGAGCATTCTTCATGTACTTGGCGTAGACGTACGTCACTTTTTGATGCTTGCTTTGCCGATTCAAAAGTGAGACTGTGCGCAACGGCATCCTTGAGTTTTCGTTTATCTGACAAGACAAGGGATTGCTTGAGTTCCGAATCACGAAGGGCTTTGATAAACGTATCCAAGGCAGTTTCGTCTCTATGCTCGGGGTCTGATGTCGGATACGACAGCAATGTCAACCGTTCGATATCTTGTGCCAGCTGCTGAATGGATTCACCAGATCGTTGCGTTCTGTTTCTAAGCTGAGACCGATAAATCTGTTTCATGTGTTCTTCACCATAACGTAAATCCAACGCGCTAACCAGAACTTCATAGTTGAAGTGGCTCTCCGCCGGAATCGTCTGAAGAACCTCTGCTGCTGAACCTCGCAGGGCCAGTATCAGTGCTGTAGCTCGTTCTTTTCCGTTCCAACAGTTACTAGTTGCCGCTGCTTCGAACTGGGTTTTATAAACGTTCCAGGACATCTCTCCGTCAAATGCTGGTACCTTCAAAGTTCTTCCGGATGCGTGATCTAACGGCATGGCCATTTTTTTTGGATTGCTCCAATTCTCGCTTCAATTTGTCTATCTTGTGATCTACCTCAACGGTCTCAACGGTCAAGTTTCTCCTCGATCATTTCTATTCTTGTTGACTGTTCTTCAATCTGTTCCGCCACTTCCAATTTTACGTGTTTTAGCTGGTCCATGATTTGTTTTAACTCCTCTGTATTTCGTTCGGACTGTTCCTTGATCTGTTGTTTTAACTCTTCTGTCTGCCGTTCGGACTGTCGTTCGGACTGTTCTTTGATCTGTTTTAACTCTTCTGTCTGTCGTTCGGACTGTTCTTTGATCTGTTCGGACAGTTCCTTGATCTGTTGTTTTATTTCAGTTGACATACTAAGCAGAAGTTCCATCATTTTAGCGGTTGTAAACGTGCCTTTGCTAATTTCGTTGTCTTCGTCAGCACCTTCAAACTTGAATTCGTCTGGGTTCTTACCTTTGTCAATGAGAGCGTCTCTCTAGTACTTCTTCGTTGCAACTTGTGACAAGGCTTCGTTTCTGTAGTTCTTCTCGTAGTTGAACTACGTTCAACCCACACAGTTTTGACATCGTGTTCTTTTTCTACGAGTAGTAATTCGCTGGTCGAAGATCCCACTTCTGACACCAATGTTATAATACTCGCTGTCGTAACCGATTTACGATGCGACGGGGTTGAATTGATTGAATAAAATATTCCAAACAGTTATTAAACTTTATTTACAGAAGAAATCAACTATTATTAGTTATTAAACTTTATTTACAGAAGAAATCAACTAATCGTTTATTTCCAGTAAATTCGCACTAACGCAACAATTAACTTTTAAATTTTTCAAAATCTATCGCTATGACAACGTCAACAAACAAATCAAATATCGCTTTAAATAATTCACCGAATCGGCTATTCACAAAATCACGAATTTCACTAATCACGAATATCACTAATCACGAATATCACTAATCACGGATTTCACTAATCACCTTGCGACGTGCGCTTATATACTCTTCGCAAGCGTCGTTTCTAGATTCTTCTAGATGGTCCGATTCTAGCATACTCTAGAATGCTCCAGTCACTAGAACATTCTAGAATACGCTAGAATTTAGTGCGTTCGGTAGCACGTTTATAACAATATATATATTTTTTAACTTCACCAGCATCTTTCTAAACCATGCTGTAGCGATGACGTCGAAAAGGAACTAACAATGTTTAACAACGAGTTAAAGAGTATTGTTGATAGATTTGTGTCTGTTCGAGTAATCTATGATAGAGGTGAGCGTATGGCACCATAGTTTGATCATGATTGTAAAAAAGCTAAACAAACATGTAGAAAAATTGAAAGGATCTTCAGAAAATTGTCGACAGATGATCATCGTAATAATTGGATAACTTCCATGAAAGCAAGAAACAAATTATATTCTGACAAACGTTCAGATTATTGGAGGAATTTAATTGAGGTCAGCAATAGCTCAAAAAATAAATGGCAGGCAATTAATAGGGTGTTCTGTAGACATAAGAAAAGTTTAATGTTCGATAGTGATGTTGGTATTACAGCCCATCAATTGTTACAGTTAGAAGGATTGACATCTGCTGCCTTCAGGAAACCCGATGGAAATCGAATGGTGTCTGTCATGTCAACTCAGACAAAGAAAAATATAAACTAGTCTAAACAAATGCCTCGGAGAATCAAAACGTGGAAGCTGAAAAGCAATATTTATCGAGAAAAATTTCAACAGATTGTTGCAACACAGTTAGACCACCAATCGCAAGCCAGTACAGATTGGAGTACATACAAAACCGTTTTGATGAACGCTGCAACTACAGTTTGAGGGAAAACTGGTACAAAACGTCAGCATGAACGTGACACTTGGTTGTGGAATGACAGTGTACAAAATGCAATAGCTGAAAAGAAAGTTGCATACAAGCAATGGCAAAAATCAAAGTCTGTTGATGACCATAAAATTTTCCGTGAGAAGAACAACTATGCAAGACGTCAAGTCGCACTGGCTCGGACAGATCAGTGCAGAGAGTGGCTCACTAAAAGCAAAGGTGAACAAATGAAATTTCTGTATCGTACAAGCAAATCGTACGAAAAAAGACATAGTTGGTGCCTCATGTATAAAAAATGAGAATGTACATTGGAGAGAATACTTCAACCGTCTGTTAAACGAAACAAATCCAATCAATGTTAACTTTGACGCTCCAACACCCATCGAAGGTCCGATTCCAGACATCAGTGTAGAGGAGCTAGCAGAGGCTCTGAAAGCTATGAAGGATGGAAAGGCAGCAGGGCCCTCTGGACTCACAAATGACATTATCAAAGCATCTGGTACTGCAGGTATCCAAACGTTACTACAACTTTGCGTGAAATCTTGAAAAATTGCTCAATGCCGACTGAATGTAACTATAGCATGACAGTTCCTCTATACAAAGGCAAAGGTGATCCATTGAACTGTTCATCATATCGGGGTATACGTCTGTTAGAACACTCCCTGAAAATTGTCGAGAAAATCATTGAGAGAAGATTAACGTCGTGCATCACAATCGGAAATTATCAATTTGGTTTCCTAGCGGGGAAATCAACAATTGATGCAATTCACATCCTTCGGCAACTGCAAGAGAAGTACCTCGCAAAAAAGTCAACATCAGCAAAACCAAAGCAACTGGACGATGGCCCTGTTCAGTTTGTAAAGCTGGTGTAGGTAACAATTCAATCAAGTGCCAGCAGTGTAACCAGTGGTGTCACAAACGTTGTTCAAAAATAATTGGTTCTTTATCTAAAGTGTCCAATTTTGTTTGTCCTGCTTGCATCAATCCACAACAACAAATTCGAAATAGCACTGTTTTTGAAGCCATCAAGAAGGTAGAGAAGGTCACATCGGTTCAATATCTAGGGAATGTTCTGGATTGTACTGGAACAGCTGAAGCTGCCGTTCGAGCACGCATACGTGCAGCCTGGAATAAATGGCATCTCCTTGCCTCTATATTGATGCGGCGTGACATCCCACTACCACTACGATCAAGACTTTAAAAATCTGTGATACGTCCGGTCTTGTTATATGGTGCAGAAACATGGCCAATGACAACCAAACTGGAACAACAACTTCAACGAACCGACATGAAAATGCTCCGATGGATGCAACGAATTAGTCTGAAGGACCACATCAAATCTACCGATATCCTGCGTCGTGCTGGTTTAGATGATATAAAGGACGAATGCCGGCAACACCGTCTGCGGTGGTTTGGTCATGTAAAACGAAGTGGAAACAGTGCCATAACTTCTCTTGCAGATGTTGAAGTACCTGGCACACGTCCCAAAGGCCGTCCAAAGAAGTCCTGGTCGCAAACAATCGAGCAAGACATGAAAGCTCTAAATTTAAATGAAATGGATACAACTGATCGTCTAATTTGGCGCAAAAAGTTGATGGCAAAGAAAACAACGTCCTACCTCGGGAAACCGGGTCTCTGGACGCAAAACGAAGATTGATTGATTGATTGAATTGTTACAGTTGTTCACTGACAAAGTTAGCAAAATCGTTCAGTCTACCAAAGTTTCCATTCAATCAACAGATGATGATAGGCCACATAATGCTGTTGTTTTCATCCTTCCCTATGGTCACTGAAGATGAATTGAAAAGATATTATAATCAATTCCCCATGTAAGACAAGTTCACATGATGTCATTCTAACTCACATCTTAAAAAAGTATTTGAAATTTTTCATCAAATTTCTCACCAGCTTCCTAATAACGATACACAATTTTTCGTTAATTTATCTAAATATCAGCCAACACCAGACGAACCGTCCTTTTTGAATCTGGGACTTAACACTCATATACGTAAACCATATCAAAAACTAATTAAACAAACAGAATTGGAAACACTTTACGCCGATTGTCTTAGGCTTAAAAATCAACGTGTCATCAACTTTGATAATTCATTCCACAGTCAGTTACAGGCCGAGGCGCATCGACATCGTTATACACCAACAAAACATACAATAGAGCCCATCATGTTTCACGCTGCCAAACAACTATGTCAAAATAAGGCTATTACCATACGTAAATCTGACAAGTCTAACACATACGTTATCCTTAATAGGTCCGACTATCTTCATCAAATTAATAACATCCTCTCTGATAGTACAACATTTTCACCAATTAATAAAGACCCCACATCCGATATCAAAACAGACGCTAATAAATTGATTGCACAAATCAACCTCAGTTCGTCCAACGTCAAACTAACACCAATCGTTGGTGACTACTCTCCAGGATATATCTATGGTAATGTAAAAATACACAAACCTAACAACCCACTACGCCCCATCATCTCTCAATGCCCAACTCCAACCTACCAGTTAGCTAAAACTATCAATCAACTTCTCTTGCCATACGTACCCCGTACTTACCATGCATGTACAGCAAGGCGCTATCAAGGATCACTTCAATAAGCAGCACAACATACCAGTTACTCGAAAAATTCTTGATAATAACACTAGCATACTTTGTAATGAACGTCGTCCCTCAAGACTCAAAATAAAAGAAGCTATTCTCATCCTCAATAATAAACCAACAATCAACACGCAGTCAGACAATTTCGCCCACGTCTTACAACTTTTTACTCAATATCGCGACGTTGTACTGCCTGAATTGCCAAACGTCATCAATAGACAGCAACTACACACCAAATATAAATACGAATATAACACACAAGAACGCACCATTAACAACAATCCGTTTGTCTCTTCACGCCATAAAACTCAAACAATTTGTTCACTAACTTCATTATTTGCCACGCCTTAATATTTCTTTATACATATTTATTGCTAAATAATATTATATCCAATTGTTAAATATCTAATAATTCTCCAATAAACTGTCATATCATTAAATATTAATATCGACTTCCCATAATTTCTGCATTACTTCTCGTCACTATGCTAACCATGTACACTTCAACTACGATAATACACAAACAATTTTACTCATAATTTTGCTTTTAAATTTATTCGT